CGCTTGACACGTCTGGGAGCTGTCACAGATTAGGGCAATATCGTCAGCATACTCCAAATCAAAAAGTCGTTCTCCGGGGAGCAGATCCACACCTTCCAAGTCGTGTCCTGTAAACGCGATTTGCATGACTTCATCAATAGTGGAGTTAAAGGGGAAAGGTGACAGCGGGCATCGTTGTCTCACACCGCTAGGTAACGACAGCTTGCAGTAAGTCATCACTCTGCCTGAGCTACGCGCGTATAATGATCGGATAACATTGACATATTTCTCAGGTACACCTTTACTGAGTAGATAGTCCCAAAGTACATGTATATCCACCGAATCGAATGCAGCTTTGATATCGAGGAACACGACAACGGTGGGCCGCCAATATATGCGACGCTGCTCCAACAACTGACGCAAAGTGAAGATGTGGTCAATGCAGTCACGACCTCGACGATACCCGGCTTGCTCTTCACGAATCTGGCTTTCACAAGTGCCAATCAGTCTAGGAACGATGACAGAGACAAACAATTTAGAGGCGATTGAGATCAGACTGATTCCTCTATGGTTGCCGCATTCCGATCGTGAGCCTCCCTTGAAAATGTGGACTATGACGGAGCGGCTCAAGTCGATTGGGACAGTTTCCTACTCACACAGTTGCACCAGTAACTCGTATAAATCATTCACAAGAGCAGGTCCCCCGAATTTGAAGAGGACCGGAGGAAGACCATCAAGTCCCGCGGCTTTACTTAACTTCAACAGTGCGACCTCACGTTCGACTTCTGAACGAGAGGGTGGGTCCAAAGGGACAGCCCACGGAGCACGGCGATCAGTGACCGGCGAGAAATCTAACAATTACGACCGATTAAATTGCCTTTCAAAGTGCTCAGCCCAACGCACCAAGCGTTTTGGCAAGTTGTGGATAGGCTGTCCACTCTCGTCACGTATAGTTCCACTAACACCAGGCCTCTTACTGCCCGTTTACCGTTCCAGCAGGAATAACTCACAATGGTTACCAAGCGCAGCGGCCATTTGCATCTCTCTTGCACGATGAGATCACCAGCATTCGCGGTCTCTCATCAGGCTAACACGGAGTTTTGCCCGAAGCTCTTTACGAGTTTCATTGTGTTCGCTTCCAGTAAGAATATGCCGGCGAGCATCGATAGGCTCCAGAGACTGCGAAGAGATCCAATATCCATGTTGGCGATTAGACTTACCACATGAGGATTTGCCTGTTGCTAGTAAGGTCCGGTGAATATGAGACCAGTAACCTTCAATTGCATCCAGTGAGCGCTTACTCAACTCGCATGTCAGCGTACTTTGATAGGCATTCAGAACAGCTGGCTTCGCCAGTTGGCTGGTGTCAATGCGCTCACAACGTCGTCTTGGACGTCCGACAAAACGCATCCGCAGGTCAGCACATCCAAGTGTATGGTCGGTGTCCACACATGTGCTCTAAATCGAGTGACAGTTCTGGACTCAGCCTCTCTATCGGTAACATCGCAATGTGATCGATTCGCGTACAAGGCTGGTGGGCGTCAAGTTACCCTCCGGCAGGTGCTGTGTCGGAAATTAGTGCTCGCAAGAAATAAGCGAGCATCTTCACACAAATTAAGTAACCGCACACCGTTATCATTACGGGAGCCTACACCATGATGACCGCCCAGATGCAGTTCATCAGTGGACAACTTTCCAACTTGAGCGTTCAGATCCCCAGCCAACACAACAGTGTCCGAGCTTCTTTTGTGGTGAAGGAGCTCGTTCAATTGGCGATAGAAGTCGTTCTTTACCGAATCATCGCTACAGTTTGTGGGTGCATAGGCTGCGATGACGAATAGACACTTGTTAGTCCCGTGCGGCTTCGCAGCTTTGAACGAGCCAGACAATCGGACCGCACACAACCGGATACTGATTGGAATCCAGTCAACCAAAGCAGCCTCAGCCGGGGGCTCATGGCAATACCAACACCAGCTTGGCCGGTGCTCAAAGTTGCATCGTCACCGGATAGGCGCAATGAGAAAGTGCTGCTGGTGTCACCTGAAGGGGATCGCAAAGTGAGCACAGAACTCGAGTCTTGCAGACCGGTCTCCGATAAGCAGCAGATATCGATCAAGAGGGACTCTAATGCTCGGGCAAGTGCTGCCTGTTGACCGATCTGTAGCAATGTGCGTACATTGAGGCATGCCAATCTGAAGGATGATCGAGGGCTCCAAATGGAAGCCGATGAACTGGGCTTGGCCGCTTGCTTGGACATGGGCTTGTCGACAGGACAGGAATGACGCTCCGCTTTCGCATGTGAGTTGTAAATAGAAGGTAAAAGCCTAGAAAAGCAAGGTGGGGAAGGGCCAAGAAGTGGGGGGTAAAAACATGGGGAATAAAAGTGAAGATGTAACAGGACGGTAAGAGTAAAAAAGCCTAAGAGGGTGAACAAGAAGATGAGTAGGCTTGAGCAGTAGCATCCAAACCCCTATCCACCCTGCTCGATGAAGCAGATAGGGCACTGTTGATTATCTTCTGCGGTGGCCAAAGAATAAAGAAATGGTTTGATGAGAAATTCATTGTATTGCCTGGACAGGATACTGTGAGGTTGCCCACGCCTAGACAGGAGAACGATTAGGGTTCTCAACCAAAGCCTTTGGTTCGAAAACCTGACCGCAAGGCAGCGGGTTTGGCGTTGGGCTATAAGGAGTCCGTTTTAAGGAATAAGGAGCCACCCTCATTCCAAGCCGCAACCTGGAAGACCAGAAGGCTGAATTTGTCTGGCCTCTAACCATTGACCAATCTGGTATGAGTGGCTCTGAAGGTGCAAAAAAAGCACCACCCAGCATAGCTCAACGGATCGCTGAGGCACACAAACCATTGCACCACGGTAAGGTCCAGCCTCATTGCGATGCTCTCATGCTACTTTTAACAGATCACTTTAACGAATAGCGCAATGTGTGTGATCCTAAAAATTTGGAGATCGACCGGAATAACCCCAGTGCCAAAAATAGATATCATAAGGATTGCTCGATTGATTGGAAATCTGTGAGGCTGAAGTTTTCGAAGAACTGATTATTTCGCAGATTTTCATAGCCACACTTGCGGACGAGATCTATCAGTGCGCATATATGACACCGCTTTAGAGTTGATGCACTACCATACACAGCTTTTTCGAAAGAAATTGCGCCACCTCAATCATACATATGTCCAGGGAATTTAGAGGAAAAACAGTTGTCGTGAGATTTGGTGGATGACGAAACAACTCCGTGAGGTCATCTGTCATCTGGCACAAATTCTGTCGTGGAGGTAGAATAATTAAAACTTAACGTCTTCTGCACCAGCAGTGACCCACTCTCTGACTCATCATCTGCACCGTTTCAGTGGTACACGGGCACACTGCTTCCTGTCGACGTTGCATCACTACACAAGAAGCTAAATCAGCTGTACTCATGCAGAGTATGAGGACCTGGCAGGTTGTCTCCTGTCGTCCTCAAGCAGTGTGTCGATTCCTTAGCCCAGAATCGGGATGAGTTGTACACAATGTGCGTAAAGCAAGAAAAAATTGCGGACGGTTGGAGGATTGCTAGCATAACTCCAATATCGAAGGAAGGGACGGGTAAGTACCGGCTACTGCATGCACCTCAGGGGCTTTGAAGGCTTTTGAGAAACATTTTCTTTAAAAAATGCCGGTCCAATCCAGTTTAGATGACCCGTATCGGTTGGCTTATATGAGTTCAAGGTCCACACAAGACGCAGCGGCTTGTCTAGTGCACTCGGTGTTGTTATTACGGGACAATAAAAACAAACCGACACATGTCTGCTTCCACGACTACAGCAACGTTTCCGGCTGTGTTAACCATGGATTTCTTTTGTAAGATCCACACACACCTCCCCGAGTATCCTTGCTGAAAGATAATTTCGCCAAAATAAAAAGGTCACCAGGTTTGGCGACAGAAGCTCCTAGCCACTTACCATAGCTATTGGTGTCCTGCAATGAGCCATTTTGTCACGATTCTTGTTCTTTACCCATATTAGCTCCATACCTGTCCCCAAAGAAGCCATTTTGCTACAATATGCTGATGACGTTATCATCGGCACAAAGCAACCAACCTCAGTCACTTCGACCAAGCTGCAAAGCTGTTTAGGCGAGCTGGGCGATGGTCGAAACCCCGCTGCTTTTGCTGAAGACATACAAGTAGAATGACATCCTGTCTTCACTTCATAAAGCAGGCCGTTATCGGGAAATTGTCAAGGAATGTCCCAAAGTTCAGATCGATGCTGACAGTTTGAGCTGTTGCAGGTCGTTAAAGCATCTTTAAGACACCGAGACATGATTTATCGTGGTCACTATCTGAATGGAATATTCGCCAAAGTCAGGCGATTTTCGTTTTACGTCGCTCGATTGCGATTATCCACCTTATCATATAAATAAATTCTGAAGTTCACCACGGCGTGCATTCTATCCCACTAGACTTATTGCTCTCATTAGATGTCTCCAGGCACATTGTGTAAGTATTCCAAGCCGCATGACAGGTCACTGAAGCACCTGTCTCGCTGCAGTGGCATTCGTAAGCCAACTTCGGCAAAAACAATTCCTGCAGAAAACTTGCTTCCAAAATAATTATCGGCAATAGTCACCCTCTTCACGGTGCACTCTCTAACGTCGTCGATCAGACAAAAGTGCAGAGCCACATATGCCCGCATGAGGGCATATGGCTCGTCGGTCATTTCCTATCTAGTCAGATCTATATTTGACAAAAACGCTAGTAGCTAATAACAGCACGGTAAATTTTGCCTGTTTCATTGAACTTTTTATCTTGTTACTGTTCTGAAACTATTGAATTACTTTTTTATCGTGTCAACAGCATGTGTATCATGGCTAAAAACTCACTCATCATGGGTGAATAAAAGTATACTTTTGACTTGACTTGAGTCAGTGCATGCACATGAGGATATTTTTCGAACTGACAAGGCAGACTACGCCACTTGGTAACCAACAACAAAAGTGTTAAGGTCCACAATGGGGAGTAACTCACTCCATTCGGGGGTTGAAGGCTCCATACGAAGTAGGCGACGAACACCAAAAGCGCAATAATTAAACCAAAGATGGAGAATATCGGATGCTTGTCGGAGTCCCGCAGATAAGGCGGTGTCATACACCGCTAAAAGAAAGTAGACAATCAAAAATGTCATAAGAGTGGAATATATCAAGCGTCGGAAGTTAGCACCAAGAGGATTTAAGCAGCAAAGGCGTTTTCCTATTAAATTTGTGAAAGGTTGGGGAGCACTTCGAGGTAGATTACTCGTCAATGAAATGTGTCTTAAAGAAAGCTGACAGTTCAAACAACACATGTGCAGAAGAGTCGCGTATCGCAATCCACGGAAAAGGTGTGCACCTCAGAAATATTGAAAGGTAAAGGGGCCAATAAAAAATCGGGTTCAGATAAGTCAGAAAACGACTGATTGGCGTATTCGCGTTTGTCCCAAGAAATTCATCTGACCAAATCGACCAGTACATGATCGGTGCGGTAGTTTGCAGCAAACGAGAACGATAATCGTGATAGGAAGGAACAAATACAGAGTCATTACGGTGACGGGTTGAGAAAGAACGTTCCAGGTAGTTCACTGTACATGTGCTTATAAATAAATCTTTGGTGATGACGGTGATGGCAGCGATTTTGCCATTTAACGGGGCAGGTGCGTCGATAAACGGTTTGTCACGCACATGATAACTGCTCCTTTTCGCAGCATTTGCCTTGAGCTACCTTTTCTCTCGAAGTTATCGCCTCGGTTAACAATAAAATGCCGCAATTATGGAACGTGGAAGTTATTGTTTCCATAACAAAACGCGGCTACGCGAGCACAGCAACAGACTGTTTAAAAACATGGTTGAAATCATGTAGTCACAATATTCAAGAAATGTAGGCAGCAAAGTGGATCTAAACTTGTTTTCATGACCCGGCCGGTTTGCAATGGAATCAAGGCCTACTAGGATGAAAGAGGCTTCACGGAGTTATTTCATCAGATAAATCTGCAGCTGAATATCAGGTACATAGCGCACGGCGTAGCTATAAAGAGTGCGACAGAGTAGAGGATCCCATAGCAGATCGGTTGCAAGGAGCGAAGAAATTGTGTACAATGTGTGTAATTGATAAAATTTAGTGTAGTTGTGAACGGTGATGAAGACGAAGCGGAATGAAGAAGCCGTTGCCCTGGTCAAAAGCAAGCCTGTGAGCTTGGTGGACTGCTTACGTGAAGTTTCTGGAAAAAGGGCCTTATCGTTAACTGTTCACACAGATAGATTTGTGGTAAGTATGGGCGGAATCGTTGATGTGTTACGTATACGAAACCATTGTACAAGAGACAAGTAGTAAAAGGCAACTGACCCGCTTGGTCCTTCATAAAATGGACACAATCCTGACGACAAGCATCGCGGTGAAAGCGAACAAAATGAATAAACCGCTCATCTAGAATATATCTCTAACGGAAATAGTTTTCGTCTATCGTTAACAGGAGCGAACCATAGGCAGGACAGTTCTGATCCGGACTGCTACTGGCAAATAAAGTTGTCATCTGTCTTAATGACAACAGGAAAAATTAGGTTTACGGGAGGAGTAAGATGAAGAAAAATAGTAAAGGACGAAGTAGAAGTCAAAGTGGTGTACAAACAAAACAATTACTGTAATTACTGCTATAATTAAGGTTAATGGGGCGCTGAGCAGCCAGAACAAAGACAGTGTATTGACTAGATCTCAAGTCACATGTAACGGGCAAGATAGTCGACAATATAGGTTAAGGTAAATGCGTGTGTCAGACAGGCGGCGGCCTGACGCATATGAACCACAGTAGACCGTTGGTTGGGAGTGAAGTTCATGATCAAGTGTGTAGGACAACATTGTACTTTTGTGGCACCGAATCGCCTGGTGCAACATCCCTTTGAAAACACGTTCTCCTGACTCATACGAATGAAGTGTTGGGCTCACCGGTAAACGTCGGATCGGTTTAGTTGTCCGCATAGGTCCCCGAGTGACTTCCCGAGTGACTAAGACCCAGAGTTTTTGGTAGTTCAGATGTGTCCAGCAGTATATCGAACGGCGACTCGTAGAAGTGATTGTGTGTTTGATGCATCGTTTGCGTAACTGATTAACGTGCCGTACGAGAGACAACTCGTACAGCACAGTGCCCTTCCTTTTTCGTACCACTGCAAGTTGCCAGGTTTGGTGGTTTGGCCTTGTATTTAGTGCGTACACCGGCTCCCTTGGTAGAAAGCTTCTGCTCACGCCTGACGCGAGTGGCCGTTGCGTAACCTTAAGGCGTATTGCATCAATTGGAAGATGTATCTCACCCCGAACATGGCTTCCGCTAGGAATCTGCCGCCTGGTACAACGAGGTTAGGGGTAGCCCGATAAGTTAACAGGAACAGCTATATGATCTCCTCTGTCGTTCCTTCCCCCTGTAGTTTTAGAATTGAACGTGGGAAGATGTCTACGAATCTTACTGCTTGCCCGTTGGACTGGGGATGCCCTGAAGGCGACCGGCAGTTCTTGATACCATTACGCTGACAGAAAGCAGCAAAATCGTCGGAGATAAATTGCAGACCGTTAACGGAAATCAAGGTGTTTGGTGAACCGAACTGTGCAAATAACTTGTAGTTTTCATACTGTGGCCGCTGTCGTAGTTGTGTTCATCAGGTATACGTCCGGCCACTTCGTATACGCAACAACCACAATCAAAAAGCACTGGCCTTGCACTGGACCAGCGAAATCAACGTGAATTCTCTCCCAAGGCTTAGAGGCTGGCATCCAGGGTTGGATGATTTTGCTTGGAAGTTTCGCTGCTGATGCACAATTGCTACATGTGGCGACACAATCATGGATAGCGTTGTCAATAAAAGGCCAGTATACGTAAGTTCTGGCTAAAGCTTTCATCCGTGATATTCCGGGGTGATGTAAATGCGAATATCTTAATACCCTTGCCTGCAGGGAATTCGGAACAGGCACGCGCTCACCGAACATAACGCAATCATCAACCAATGCTAAGGAGTCATGTCGACAATAAAATTGTTCAAGGTGTGCGTCAGCAAATCGATCTAGCCAGTTTGTGTTTAAAAAACAAATAAAGTGTTGCAAAAGAGGGTCGAGTTTCGTGTGCTAATGAATGTCCACAGAAGTAATCGGGGGAGCTCTAATTGAATTACACAAGCTGTCTTACTTCCGATTCAAGCACAACTAACGCGATCACCTGGTCTTCTTCTATGCTCGGCTGTTTTGCGATAAGTCGAGATAGCGCATCGGCGTAGCTGAAATCTGCCGTAGGCACGAGCTATAGTAAAATTATATCCGAGCAACAGTGTCGCCCAGCGTTGGAGGCGATTCGCAGTGTACACAAGTATAGCCTTCTTTGAACAGGAAATGGCTAATAATGGTCAGTCGCCAATACGAATTCTCTACCCTGCAACATCCGATAAAACATTATGACAGCAGAAGTTAAAGCTAGTGCCTCTTTCTCGATCTCTGACTAGTTTCTTTCAGGCAAGTGATGCGCGGGCAACCGATCTCATGGTGCTAGAGTCGAAACGCTGACGAAGAACTGCTCCGACAACATAACTAGAGGCATCTGCGCAGACGATGATATCTGCTTTTGGGTCATAATGTGCCAGCATTGAGTCAGATACAAGAGCTTCCTTAATGAGCCTAAACGCGTCCTCACATTTAGATGACAAAACCCAGGATGGATTTTTACCCAGCAACTCATTCATTGGCCCGTGAAGTCGATGTATATCAGGATTAAATGCACTTCAAGAACTTATCATGTCCAGGAACGATTGCAAGGTAGGTATATCGTGTGGTGCAGGTAATTCCTCGAAGACGCGCATTTTTTCAATATCAGATCTTCGTCCATCCCGACTGACAAGAAAACCAAAGTATTTCAGTTGAGGCATAAACAAATAACATTTATCAGCTTTCAGAGTCAAACCATATTCCCGTAAGCGTTCGAGTACCTGCAAGAGGTGGCAGTTATGATAGGTTCTGTTTGTTGATGCGACGATAATATCATCCAAGTAGGCACAAACCGATGGTATGTCCGTTAGCATAGTAGCCATCAGTTGTTGAAAGAGTCCCAGGACAGCGTTCAGTTCGAACGGTAGCCGATTGTACTGATCCAGACCACAGTGAGTGTTAAGTGTAAAAAGGCGCCGTGTGTCATCATTGACTACCAGTTGAAAGTAGGCATCCGAGATATCAATCTTTGATAAAATGTGATTGCCATTGAGTTTGGCGAAGAGATCCTCCGGTAGTGGCAGCGTTCAGGAAGGTTGAATAATCTCCACATAGGCGAATGGTTCCGTGTGCCAATTTCACTATCACTAGGCGCTGTCCAGTCTGAGTATTGCACTTCAGAAATCCCTCCCGATTGTTCCAGGAGATTCAATTCATTGTCAACTAACTTATAAGACGGATACGGCACCGGTCTTCTGGGTCGAAAAACAGGCTTTGCGTCATCTTTTAGATACAGAGATGCCGTGAACTTGGTGCAACAGCCAAGTGTGGGGATGAAAATTTCTGGGAATTGCTTCTCCATATCGCCAGCGATTGTAGAATTCTGAGCTGCGTAGCACTGTGATGACATGTCCCGACAGGATAGACTTTCCTTGGTTTGATCGCACACAAAGTCAAGAGGAACGCTCCACAGATTCAATGCGGTTATCCAGTCAATACAAAATATATTAAATCCCGGTCTGTCCGAAACGTGACAGACGCCGGTTAGCTTATCGTTTCTGCAAACATATTCGCAGGAAAATTTACCACATAACTGTAGGATACTGTTCAATGCACTCCTAGCGGTATTATCCGCATTGCACAGTATCAGTCTACCGATAGCCGACCATGTCGGGCTGGAGATGATGGTAATGTCAGATGCGGTATCCAGCTGTAGGCGCATTGAGTGACCATTAATAGTGACAGTGATAAACTTACGAAGTGAAAGAAATCCTTCCTGTGCAGTTGCATAAATCACATTAGACTCCCATTTGAGTTCGCGTTGTTGAAACGGTTTTGGTTGATCCCCACAATGAGGACGTCGTGTGGTTGATCGGCAATGCGTTTCTTTAGGGCCTTGCTTGTGGCAGACGGTGCACTGGGGATTGATGAATGGAGTTTCGGGAAAATGCCACTCGCCATAATTCCAACAACACGTGGTGGTTTCTGTCGTGCGGTGTTATAGACATCTGTCGGTGCTCGGGTAGAAAGTAAACCAACCATCGCGATCTGACATTAGTTGTCAGAGATGGTCAGTTGTCTCTCACATCAGTTGTGAGTCAGTTTTTAAGTTGACCAGAGGCTGACACTCTGCGGTGACGTCCAGAATGGTGAAATCTAGAGACAAGTCCAGTTTGGATACCAGACTTGTTCTGATTTCTGCGTCAGCTGCAGAGGTCAAGCCAGATACAAAAATGAGTGAGTTGAACTGATCATCTGTAGGTTGTTTGAGCTTGAAAAGTTCACATGAATGGTTCACTCTGCCCGCGTATAAAAATATAATCCTCGGATTGATTCCTAATTAGCACCAAACAATGGTAACGGATGTTGAAAATTGAGGACCTTTCACAAAAATGGAAGTGAGAACATCTACATTCTCCTGGAAATTTCACTTGCGGGGAACGTTGCGGTAGAAAGAAAGTACAGCATCGGTGTGTTCATTTGTGCCCAGCTTCCGTAGCAACAACCTGAATTTGGCCGCATCATCAAGTGTGATCACGTCAATCAGAAAGATGTCTTCATATCGCCTGTACTAGGTGGCGAATGTGATGCCGTTCTCTGCGTCATGTTGGAAATCTTGCATTCTGTTTCCCAAAGCTTCAGCTGAAGTGGACTCGGTTTTCACTCAGGGATGACAGTTTCTCAGTGAGTGCTTGAAATAAAAACAACTGTCTTTGTTCCTGTTGAAGCCTAGCCCGCTGTTGCTGCTGGATTTAATCATGCTGCTGTTGTAGTAATTGGGTTAGGCGAGAATGATCAGCCATCTCCATCGTCAGTGTTATACTTGCGGTTAATGGGGCGTTGAGCCGTCAGAACAAAGACGTTCACCGCACCGTACAGTGAACTGACCAGTTCTTATACGTAACAGGCAGGAGAGCCGACAATATAGGTTAAGTGTGTGTCAGACAGGCGGCCGCCTGACGCATACGAACCATAGTAGACCAATGGGTGAGAGTGAAGTTCACGGTCAGGTGTGTGGGACGACACTGTAGTTTTGAGCCACCGCATCGCCTGGTGTAACAAATAAAAGACGTGTTGAAAGATACAGATAGAAATTCATCACATCTAAACACAGCTATACAGACACCACATGCTTGGAAAAACACTATGTGGCCGTTGCATCCCTTAGGGATTCTTCAGCAGTGCGCATTCCACGGGACCACTACGGGGCTCCAACCCGCAACTCCACCGTCGAGGGCCCGTGGTTGAAAGCACGGAGGGACAGAGGACCGCAGCGACCATCGTAGCTAGGCTACTAGACGTTCTCCCGTTTGATGACATCCATAGTGCGAGTGAATTGCTCCTTAACAGTTTGATTTGCATCTTTAAGCCGATTGAGCATGCTCATTAGTGCAATTGTAGTGCAGCGCGGTGACCTTGGAATTGAGCTAGCCCAAGGCAGCCAATAACGGTAAACTTAATAACCCTTGTATGAATGTATGAGTTGGTGGTGTGTGGTGTTGACGCGTGGGCTGCCTAGCCTGCATACAGCAACGGTGGCTAATCTGAAGCTAGTTCCAACCAGTTTAGGGGCACAGGCTTGTCTAAACACGGGATGCGACTGGGTTTAAATGGACTATCATGTACGTAAAGGCATGCCTTGCGAATGGCACAAGTTGGGGGTGATGGTTGCGAACATGGTAATACGATACCCCATTAGCGAGCTTATTGCTAGTTTGGCACTGGCGCAGCCCAATTTTTTGGACAACCTACTAATGCTCGGGCAACGACAGTACTGTGTCCGGATAGTGAGGCAGTCAGAAGTGCATGGCTGTGAATGATCAGGGGCGATGTGACGGGTTTGCGAGTAGAGCAACAAAAGGGGCCTGTGCAACCGAAATACAGGTTGGAAGATGGCCGCCTTGGATTATAGAGAGTAGTCTTGAGCGGCGGTATGTGGCCGTTTTGTCACAAGGCGAGTAGGCCCTACTTTGTTACAACAGGCGTCGCTTACCCTCATGGTGGATGCACTGCACCGACTTGATGGTCCCTGAATCAAATGATATACTGCGACCAGGTTGTCAGAATTTTACATCGACTGATTAGTACGCACATGCATGAGCGGACTGGTGCGGACCGAACGGAAGGGCAACTGACACGCAAGTCGGTGCTCATCAATTGAATTCGTATCCCGTACCCAGTTTAGTGGTATGTTCACACATGGGAGTCACTCGATCGTAGCTCAGCATCTCTGTCTGTTCAATCCACCGCCCCTTCTCCAGCAAAGGTATTTGGCTAACAGCATATAGGCGAGAAACATCTCAGTTTCTTCTTACGGCAGTTGTACCTGCAAAGCCCACAATTCCCGGTGGTGGATAACACTCAATTTCCTACCTGTGAACCCGTAGTCCACAATCGCAGATGGCAGTACAAAGGTATATAACGGGTCAACTAGATAACGCTTGACATGTCCCGTAGGATGGCCGTAATGAAGAAAGATTAAATAATGAACGTACCAATAAAATGGAGTGTGACATGGTGATTTATCAGCGATATATACATGGTAACTGGTATACGTCCAGTTAGTTGCAACTAATCGCTCTCCATAATTTACATCTTCGGCACGAAGCGGGAAATTCGAGAACATAATTTTATACATGAAATTCCCTTTATAATTCCAAATAAGAGCATCAGAAGACCAAAGTCGTGGGATGACAGTGTTAGGACGACCTGCCAGCGCTCGGTGTGTCCGGATATCAAGACAGTCACAGCCGTATGACTGAGAATGACCGGGGTCTGGAGTGACAAAACTTTATGGCGTGCATGTGGACAAAGCGATCTAAGTGGCCTGCGCAAATTGCCACTGAACTCTGGGTTGACGGTGGCCTCCTTGGTTAAAAGAGAGATGATTTTAGCGGCGCTCTACTGAGAGCGCTGGTACCGAATAGGAAATAGTAATTTTGTTGCTAGGTGAGTAGGTACTGCGTTGTTAAAGCAGGCGTCACTTACTGTTAGGCTATTATTGAGCTGATGTAAGTGGTATGTGATAAGGCGAGAGAATATCTCCCTGAAAAGCAGCCTAGTTGGTGGTTAGTGTTTTGCAACATTTGCCATTGACTCGTGTAATCTGGGTGCGTCCAGTAAAATGATCATTTAGGAAACGCATTATGGAGGGATTTATTCGTTGAATGAGTAGATCTTTCGACAGGATTTCGCGGTCTACATAGCAAAATGCGTTGTTGTATTCAAGGAATCACTTACGAGTTGATCTGTTTCTTTTGTCAAGTAATGGCGGTATAGAACGTACGAGGTGGGCCACTTCACCTACGGTAGATCTCGAACTACAATAAGTGTTTTTAAAGGGGTCCTTAGAGCGGGTTTGGCACAGCATCACAGCTGTAAGCATGCGAACTTCGCCACCGCGCAGATGGTAGGAAAAATAACTTCGAGACGCACAGATTGTGAAAACGAAGATACAAAACCTACCGATGATTTTCGCAAAAGCAGACGTATCAAATATGTGATCCGACTGTCCATTCAGTCCGTTAGTCGCATGGTTGGCAATTTCTTCGTTCGCCATAGCTTCGGAGACCAGAGCATATCGGTCCCACAAATCCAATGACCAAGGGCAATTGCGAACAGAACGAGCCAAGACGCGTAGGAGGCGAGGCCTATCAGATGGCAGCTTGTCTTCCTGAAAGGTGATGAATGATGCACAGGATGCTTGCAATGTAGAGAAAGCAGGGTAGCATAAGTCAGATCAGTGTAACAGGCCTCATGAGGATAGTGTGAAGAACAAGTAGACAAGAACGTGAAGCAAATAATTCCAAAATTGAGCCAAGTAATAGTCTTTTTGAATAATAGAAACTCAGTCTGATTATTCAACTATGATCGGTGCACCAAGATGCGGTGAATCCGGTTATCATGACTCATATCGTCATAATACAAACAGATTTGAATCGCTGGGTGAGGTAAGTGTTGGAGATAGGCATAGTAGTGTGAGAACGCCAACGGCTTCGTGTCTGTGCAATTTCTGGTAGAGTACCCAAGCACTAGTGTCCGGCTATGAAGCACCATTTAGGATGCGCACTAATCCGACCGGGCCGATCGGCATGCATCGTCGTGTTCTCGGGATTTCACACAACCAGGTGTAATTCTGACAAACAACATAAGACGAAGCACCCGACTAGCAGACCTGCGAATGACAAACTAGCCGGCGGTTACAGTTCGACAGATATTACAATGAGGCACCACAACGTGCCAAACAACCAGTTCCAGTGCTGCTCAACGTTCCTATCGGACATGAGCAACACTATGGTGGTAAATGCGGTCTGTCTCTTAAAGACTCCAACATGCAGTGACCCTGTTCATGATAATTACAGGATGTAAGAAGGAGAGGTGACAAATCAATTAGCAACTTGCCTAAAGTTGATAGATGAGAAAGTTCAAGCCAAGAGTAGTAATGGCAAAAAGTAGGCCGAAAAGATAAGAATACACGAGATACTAAATTGTTGATGCGTTTATAGCAAAACTTCTGTGGCTTAAGTAAAATATAGCAACTAACCAAGTAATTGATGAAACGAAGCCAGATTTCGGCATGCAAGCAGTGGACGGTGACTGATCTTTCAAACAGACAGCAAATGTGAGCGGGATCGAAGCCCTTTGTTTGTTTTTGGATTTTAGACTTTCCAGGTGTGTTGGATGAATTCGAATGACGATAAGACACTATCCAGTCCAAGTAGGCAGTCCAGGCAGAGAAAGAAGAAGCGTCATTGTCCGAGGTCTAGCAACAACAATCACGGAATAAAGAGTAACGATTAGCAGCTCGGTGACCCACATGATAATAAACAATAGAGACGCTCAGAACAAACCTCGATTTTGTCCTCGAAAGGTTGGAGCAGTTCCAGCTGAGCAAGCGCTGCCTCATAATCTTTCATGCAATCAGCAGGAACCGGGGATAAAGATTCCTGGTCACTTTCGTATAAGGACTTTCCGTACTGTTCGAGAAATTCTTCGTATGCTTTAAAAGTCGACTGGATGGCTGAATGATAAAAAGCAACAAATTACCGAAGCACTAAGGAAAACTTGGAACGAAAAAAACGATCATTGGACAGAGCGAAGGAATCGTCGCAAAGTAGGAGCGATTTCACAATGAAAGGCTGTGCAATATGCCAACTAGGTTCGCCATGCGGTTCAACTTTTTTAATGTGGTTTAACCTATGAGAGGATCAAAAGATCCCGGTATCCATAGTTTGTTCGGGAAGTTAATGATACTTCGCAAAATACTAAGGTTCAAGATTGGTAGTCTTTCGGTTTAATATGACGGACGTATGCTGAGCACTTGACACACTATATTCCATGGTATGTAGACAAGGACTGCGAGCATGAGACAATAGAGGCCGAAACTTTTCCTCTAACGTGCGGTAAAAGGTGCTGATGTTCGTTTCAAAGACCTAGATCGATAAAATATAATATTTGAATCCATCGCATAGTATGCGGTTTGACCATTAAATTCAGTCAGAAAGTCAACTAAGTCGAGAACTGAAAGAGCTTGAAATGCACTACCCTCTTCCTGGTTACGCCACAGGTTAAATGACTATCCCAGTTACCGAGATTCGAAAAATGGTCAGGGTAACAATTCGCATGCCATTTTTACATAGGTATCAGGAGCTCATGTGGTCCCCGAGTGATGTGTTTGTAAGTGCATGGAATTGAGTATACAGCGTGATTGAGGTACAAGCATCAAGGTGGGATTATGCGCAAAGTGGGAACTTTCGAGCATTTCAACCTCATCCTTACCTATGAATGTTGAGCTGTGTGTGATTTTGCATACTACTTCAATTATTCTGGCCCAACCACATAAAACGAAGTTTTAGCCGAGGAACAAGGATTGTAAAAATAAATCGTACTGAAGGTTGGATGTCGATGAGACATGTACCCAGGAAACATAGAAGAAAGTGTAGAGGTGACTGTGTGCATCATTCGAAAGGAAGGAATCGGTATCGGACCACCAGACCTCCAGTGGCATAAAGTCAGAATGGCTGTTACCTTACCTCTTTTGCAACGCTACAAGCGACGGAGTTCCCATGGCGGGCTTGAAAGACATAAAACGCAAGCTGGGAATAAACGACTCATCTACACAAGTTGAGAATGGATAACATTCGATTGCAAGTCAGCGCAATCCGAATAGGTTTTCCCCAAAATCAACAAATCGCTCTCAAAATAACGCTAATCCCAATGAATGATTACAATGTCATTTGAGAACTTCGACAAGTGGAATATTTGCACTAACTGTGACTGTCATTATCAGCAGTTAAATCCGTAATTAGTAATGGTGACAAGAACAAGGGGAAGAAGTAAATACAATCCGAAGTGCTTTGATTGGTTTTTATCCTTGAAAGATAAAGATACCTGATATCTCTCGAATACTAAGGCTCGCCGTGGCACACTAGTACGCAGCTGCGACGCAGCTGAAGGCGCGAAAGAGCAACTTGGATTTTGTGAAGCACAAAAGAAAACTAACGCGTTAATTAAATCTATGTGATCCCATAGCTACGTAGGCTATACGTCCTGCATGCCAACAGATTAACGCCAACACTCGTAACCCAATGATAGCTACCCTCAAGAAGCAGGGCTAGTCGTGCAGTCAAGGCAGGGATCAACAGATGTTACCCATAAAACGAATCATCATCTATATCGTATAGAAATTTAGGTCGCTATATAGTTGCGATTACTTCAGATTGATAACCTATCATTTTCGCGTCCTCTGCTGTCTACAATGGTCACAGGTAAGCACGCATTGATCATTCCAATCCACTTTGCTCTTAATATCTAAGCCCACTTTGACCCATACTCGATCGCGTCGATTCTAAACTGTCGGTATGGTCCGCGCGGCTATGGCTTTCAACATCATTAAAAGCAGTAGATCAGTTATTTGAACTGATGCTTCGTTGCCATACAACCACAATGACCTACAGAAGGAAGAATAATAAGAGAGACGGGAAAATTACTGGAAAACCCTAACACCCTAACTAAACATTCAGGGTCAAGGCGCCTACACCTACAACATACCGTGCAAACATAAAGCGGCATCGGCGAGACAACTTCCTTGCAGCGTTCAACGCTTCGCATCATAATCAGCCGTTGACCCGTAGAAAACTAGGCACCAAACACACTATAGACAGGCAGTCCGACTACGAGACGGCAGCAGACACGCCACTGGTGTCGATTGTGAGTCATGTCTTGTAACGTCTCGAGCCAAACACAAGGCGTCACGTGGACTCCAACGCGGAAAATGAGACGGACCGACAGTATCGAGTTTGGTCGTCAGTGAATTGATTTACCGCTGCCAAGTCCACCTCGAGCCTGGCGCCACCCTACATCTGGCAGACAAGGCATACGTAGCACGTGCCCAAACCAACGCAACTTATTCCGTGCTATCTGTCGTTCTAAGGAACTAGCTTGATTACCACTACCCAGCACTCGTCTACGCGCATCATCGTTACGGACACACTGGTGCCACCAAACACCAGCAATGCTTCACAGACAACGATGATCAAAGACTTGAAGGCGCCTCAGGTTTTCAGACCGAAGGGGCCAAGTTTCACTATCATAGAGTAGAACGGACCTCCCTATGGCCCTGTAAATACGTTTTTCAGACGAAGGGAAACTCCTATCTGTCGCCAAAGATGTCGCAAAGCAAGAAAGCAGTTTTGGCTTTGGCAATGCATAAAGTGACTTCAGTTGCCATGCACCCATCGTTGCTGATGCAGCTGCCAAGGTAAGTGAATCAATCAACTACCTCGAGTTCCTCGCAATCAAGGGGCCATCAAGTGGCTAGTGGTCCTGAAACAACACTTTAAAGTGCAAAGCGCATACCAAATAATGGGACCACTCTACATAAGCTGTTTAGGAATGATTGCGCCGCCGCAACATCGTTAAAATGCAGGAAATAGCGTATGCATAAGACCACTTAGCTTTTCACTAGGCAACATATTAACGCCCGCATCGTGAGGCCCCGAAAGGGAACACTCCATGGTAGAATCCACGACAAAGTTTAATAAAAATGGAGAAATTGGACAACCGTGATGAATGCCAGTTGTTGTCAGTAAGACATCCGGTAAGAACGTAGACCCTGAAGCAGCCTGTCGTGTTCGAGTATAGAGCACATACGATGTTCACATATTTCAAAGGAACTCCTTTTCGCGCAAGTGTTTCGAACAGAATGCACCCATGGACTGAATCAAACGCACTCTTGAATTCCAGGGACACAGCTATTGTCCGTCCGCGGTATGCGTGGCGCTGTTCTATCATCTGCCGCAGAGTGAATATATGGTCTATGCAGCCACGTCCTGAGCGAAAACCTGCCTGCTCATCCCTAATCCGGGATTGGCGTTCTACAGTGAGGCGAGGAACGAGAATCGAGGCCAGTAATTTTGTCACAACTGGCGTTAGGCTAATACCTCTGTGGTTAGCACAATCGGTGCGACTACCCTTCTTGTATAGTGCCACTATAATCGATTCACACCAGTTAGCTGGGATGGTCTCTTCATTCCAGACATGTTCGACCAGGGAGTTCAGTGCTTTGCACAAAACCTTAACCCAAATCCTTAAATGGTGCAGGTGGGAGGGGATCCGGGATAGCAGCACGAAAACAATTAAGGGTTGTGATCGCGCTTCGGACCACAGACTCCGAGGGAGCCACTAAAACAGTACTTCTCAAGCTTAGGGTAATTACCCCCAAGGGAGTAAGATGTAATTTTACGGGGGTTGGGTCATCAAGCTGTCACCAAACAAAATTGACAAAAGCATTTGTATCATAACCATCAAGTGACTATCTAACCACTATTTATTAACCATCAGTGAGTGGTCAGTGAACCAGACGATTTTCGGTAATAAATTTTATTACCTATAATACGAATACAAGCCTGCAAAGTAGCGTAGCTAGATGGCGCCTCTATCGGCGCATTCGTCGATCGTTGTTCTTTTTGGTGAATTAGAGTTGTGTGAACATTAAGGTGGGAGCATAGGTCAGCATATCAGGTAAAGGATCGACCACGTCTTTACAAGGTGCAAGGAAAGAACGGGCGATTAGTGTTCCGTACGTACTGGTACAGATTGGTGGTGGAAAGCTGTTATCCAGGAATGAATGAAACAAATGTGAAACCATTGACATTTGTTCATGTTTGATCAGGGATCACACACTAAAGCAAGGAACCAAATGAACTTCTAGCACGACTTACGATGTGTATTGGTCGAAAGCGCACCAAATATATGAGAACTTGTTGGAAGTAAGCAATATGAACCATCTCATTAATGTACACCACCACCTGTTTTATATTTGAATGAGTAAAATTAAATAAGAAGGGTATTCATTTTTCATAAATTGATGAATAAAGATGCAATAGGTAAGCCGATATTTAAACTAAAGCTTTGGGTGGTAATTGTTTATAGTGAACCCGCTTTGTGAGGACCAATCACAAAAAGGTTGAGAAGCACTGCTCTAAACTAACCGTCCATAGCATAGCCTGCATCACCTGAATAGGAAGAGATCCGGAGGCCAACTGAACTGATGTTGAAAGTGCACGGCCCAACGAAACTGCTAACTGTGAATCAGTTCACCCGCGCTGTCTGATGGTTTCACTGACGCCTGGTTGCCTGGAACCAGTGATGCAGATCAGCTGGAAGAGCTTGCGATAATAGCCTAATGCAGCTACCTCCTCTATTTCTTCAGCCCCACTGGTTTACCAGGCTTCCTTGTCAGCGCGGAGGTTCCGCTATAGTTCGCATCTAATAGTTAGTCTGACTATGGCCAACTGGAATGGGTGAGACCTGATTCTTTTTTTTCTTCACTAGTTACCCATCGCCACCGTTTGCCACGTAGACCGGCCACTAACACACCACTTGCCACTACTATGGGATCATTGATGTGCATGCCCCGTCCACTCGCGGCTGTTCGAGCTAGTTCACTTTGCCTTTGTTCATGACAAAGCTTTGCTTGGTTCATTCAAGTCTAAGCCAATTCTGATTTCTCTATTCGAC